AAAAACGGGTTGGATCTTGTCCCACCCAATTTGATCCGCTTAATCTCCATAATTTAACATATTGATATTTAACTTTTATAACTACAATTTGAATTTCAACTCAAGATTTTTTCTTTATAAAAAGTTACAAATAGATAGATAAATCTTAAAAGATATTAAATAGATGATAATTCATACATTCAATATAGGAACATATATTACATAAAGAGTCTTAAAACGGATTGAAAATGAAGATTGAATTGGGCTCAATTGACTATTCTCTTAAAAATGAGTTAAGGCTTGAATGAGTTGAGATTGATCTTGAGTTCAATCCTTCAAATTTTGAACGGATTGAACGGATTACCTATATTTGGGTTCATTTTTGACACACCTAACCAAATATAAAAATTTATGACGAGATATTTTTTTTACCCAAAAAGATAATTCTAATTACGGAAAAGGGTCAAAATTGCCTCTGAACTATGCGAAATAGACCACTTATACCCTCCATTACATTTTGGGATAAAAAATACCCCCGCAGTTATCCCAGGAGACCACAAATACCCTCAAGAGTTAACACCCCAATTTTTTAGTGACGTGGCAAGCCACATGGGACTGATCCCTCCACCTAAGCATTGCCAACTAAGATTCACTACAAAAGAACTTGACTTTTAGTGGCGACAAAGTCGCCACAAAATCCCAAAATATTGCCACTAAAGGTTATGAGTGATTTTTAGTGGGACTAAGGCTCCAACAACCATTCGCTAGTAAAACCTATTTTTTCAACAAAAAAATATGATAATTAATTTTCGATTGCGACCTAATTTTCTAAAATAAATAACTTGCAATGTCCATATTAAAAACATCCAATATTATTACGAAAAATAATCAAAATTACTTCTCAATTCAAATCTCCTACTATATATATATAATGCATCATTGTACATTTTATACATTTACATATGACATAAAAATAAAACATATTGTGTCTTCAAACTCCTACTTAATCGATATCATATTTGGTTTTTTAAAAACAATGAAGAAAAAAACACAAAATTAGAATTTAATGTTAAAAACTTTTAGTGACGATTTTCTGGGCTTTTGTGGCGACTATTGTTGCCGCTAAAGGTGTAGTTCTTTTGTAGTGAATCCTAGTTGGCAACGCTTAGGTGGAAGGATTAGTCCCACGTGGCTTGCCACGTCAACAAAAATTTGGGGTGTTAACTCTTGAGGGTATTTGTGGTCTCTTAGGATAACAACAGGGGCATTTTTGATCCCAAAATGTAACGAAGGGTATAAATGGTCTATTTCATATAGTTCGGCGGCAATTTTGACCCTTTTTCGTTCTAATTATGATAAAAGATTTGACAAAATCTAATGTTATTGTTGTTGCAGTAGTACTTGAAGATCATCGTAAATTCATACAATTTAATAAAGCAATATATTGTTATAGACAATTTTTTATCGTCTAACTGTTCTTCTATGTCAATATTTAATAAAGATACATTATCAACAAGAATTATGGCAGAGTAGTAAGTAGTTAATTTTTTTTTTAATCAGAGGTCTTGAGTTTGAGTCTCCCACTTTATTACTTAATGTGAGACTTTTTCGATGCAAATTCAAATTTAGTCCGACTCCACTGTGAATGAATAAAGTGTGCAATTTGTGGAGTAAGGTTATTACCATACCCTTTTGTTTTATCTAATAAATATAGGCTTTGACTGCGTATCAGATGAGACTATGACTGAATCAAGCGAACATGCACTAATCCGCACTTTAATTCACAAATGATAAAAGCGAATTTCATTTTCTATGTGAGTCAATTGACTTCGATTAAGACCAGATCACTGATTTCTGAATCCATTAAGATGACTCAAAAATTTAGTTGTTTCAATTTTGTTAGTCCTTGCGTAGACTGACTTATTGCTTTCTTTTTTGAGGATTTTTTTTTTTGAGTAAAAGCGATGTAAATCGATTGAGACTCTGATTTCTACATGTCACTTATCAAACTTTGATCAATCATACCACAAGTTTAGTAAAATCATTTATCTCTATGTACGACAAATGTGGAATAAATAAAATATGACTTTATTGTTTTGTCAAACAAAGGAAAAATATGCTAACAACTTCACATGTTACAACTACTGTATTAAAGTTGTAATAAAAGCCAACTTATCATGATAATAATATTTTTACTTCTTCATCTTTCTATAATAGTAAAAAAAAACAACTATAAGTTGCTAACAATCCAAACAAGTCAAATTGAACTAATCAAAGAACCATAATTAGGGGAAGTTTGGACACACGATATAATATTAGATTGATATAAAGTTAAAAGTTTTATTTGAACATAAAATTTAAATATTTTAAGTGGTATTTTATTTTTTCATAAACATGAAAATTATACAAGTTGTGAAAAGTATCAAAATATTTTTTATTTTATATACTATCTTATCATATAAACAAATCATAGTTCATCAAAAAGATAAAGAAATATCTTAAAGCGCTGCATTAATAATCACATATTTCCATTACCTTTTATAAATTGCTATTACAAATATTCAAATACACAAAATTTTAAAAAAATTCATTAGTCAACAATAATAGTAACTATTTATTCTTTAATATAATTCTTTCATATGGTACAAATAATCTCTTCCGTCTGAATCCCCTTCTTTTATTTTTGGCAAACTATGTCCATATTAAGAAAGTCACAAAATTATATTTCACATCATTGAACTATACGTTAATATCTCAGAAAATACAATTCCTTAGAATAGTAAAAAAAAATTCGTCATCAAAAAATAACTCGACATTTTAAGGTCAACAAACTTAAACAACTTATCACTAATTAAAACCAACAAATTGAGTGATCACATGAACTTGTTCTATGAGTGGAACTTACTTGTATTTTATGTATTATTATCATAACAATAAATTGATATTGACCCAACAAAACAAATATATAACCATAAAGTAATCTACAATTAAAAAAATTGCAAATTTTTACAACTTAACAATTCTATATAAAGGTTATTTCTTCCAACAATTAATGGACTCCATATATACCTACCATCATACATGTTTAGAGATAGATGTCACGCTAACTCTTTCTTGTCTACTTTATTTTGGGAGGGATAGCCGATACTTATATTAGGGTCTGATTAGATTCAGATTCGCTCAGAAAGTTTTGTAAGTTTTGTTTTAGGGGTAAGATGTTTTCTAAAAAAATTATATTCAGTAGAGCTCGAATTCTAGATCTCTAATTAAGAATGAAAGAATATTTATGACTTCATCATAACCCTAATTGATTCTTGTCCTCATGTCCAGTAAAATTGAAACTAGCGAGATCTCTAATTACGAATGAAGGAATATTTACGACTTCATCATAACCCTGATTGGTTCTTGTCCTCATATCCAACCTAGTTCAAATTTAAGATCTCTATTAAGAATGAAGGAATATTTATGACTTCATCGTAACCCTTATTAGTTCTTGTCCTTTTATCCAACAAAGCTCGAATTCAAGATCTCTAATTAATTAAGAATGAATAACTATTTACGACTTAATCGTAACCCTAGTTGATTCTTTTTTTCATATCCAACAGAGCTCAAATTCGACATCTCTAATTATAAATGGAATATTTATGATTTCATTATAACCATGTTTAGTTCTTGTTCTCATATATACAACATGGTTCATCAAATTCGAAATCTCTAATTAAACATGAAGGAATATTTACATCGGTTGGTTCTTGTCTTCATATCCAACAAAGCCCAAATTAAAGATATCTAATTAAGAATGAAGAAATATTAACGACTTCATCATAACCTTGGTTGGTTCTTGTCCTCATATCCAGCAGAGCTCAAATCCGCAATCTCTAATTAAAAATAAACGAATATTTACAACTTCATCGTAACCATATATAGTTGGTTCTTTTCCTCATATCTCGTTATCTTCTTTCTATAAAAACTTAAAAAGTGAGTTATTGCCTCAAGCTTGCAATACTAAAGTAATTAAACTCTTTGTGCCCTTATAGCATGGCACATTGACACAATATTAACTATAGTCGTTAAAAGTTCGTGTATTTACTCAATTATATACTATATAATAGAAGAAGTAATCTCTTGTTATTCTTATAATTACGTCACTTTCGTTATATTCACATATATAGTCTTAAATTAATTATGTTGCATGTGATCAATCTCATTCTAATTAAATAACCTGAATGATCAACCTTATAATTAAACTAATATTATTAGACTAAACAATCTTTAATCAATAAAAATCTCGAATTCGAGCCATAAGAACAAACACTTTTTCTTTTAATAAGCTTTACATTCTACCAATTCGAATTAGTTAGACCAGTGATCTCCGATGCATAAAAGATCATGCACGTACAAATGTGTTATAACTTAACACATGCAATTGTAAAAACTAAATTGATTAGTGATTCGAGACATAAAACTCTTTGTTTGGTCCAAAACTATATCCCTTCGTTTCTTATGTTGCACTTTTTGAGAATCAACTTGACTATTTTTTAAAGTTAAATTAGATTACATTAATTTGATATTTTAAAACAAAATTTTAGATATTCAAAAACTATACAGAACGTACTATAAATTGCAACTTTTTTCATATCAATAAGATGAAAAAATACATCTTAAAAATGTTAGTTAAATTCATATCGTTTGACTAGTCTTAAAAAGGAAACTATGACAACTAAAAAGAAACGTGGCATTAATATTTAACCTTTGTTGAGTTACCTAAATTAAGGTTATGGCCAAACTTAATGAAAATGACCCCTAGTTCATTTGATATTTTAACAAGATAAGTGAACTATATATAGGTGGGACATGTGATTACCTTTTTTCTACCAACATAAAAAGTATGGTGAATATATATAATATTATGTAGTATATATACATGAGCATGTTAATTGATTTTAATTAAACCAATAAAGAGAGAGTGAAAGGAAGAATTATAAGCACAAAAAAAGTTTGTGTTTTTTTAATTATACTTTCATTCTCTCTTATTGAAGATAAAATTATATTATGGCAATTATGAAAACAATTATTTTAATGGTGCTAAGTCAAATTGCATCTGGAAGTGTTAATATTTTCTACAAAGTTGCTGTTGCTGATGGAATGAAAGTACAAATTATGGTCTTTTACAGATTGGTTTTTGCTACTGCTTTCATGGTTCCTCTTGCTTTCATTATGGAAAGGTTAGTTTTATAATTTTTTGTGTTAATTTTTAGAATTTGTTAATTGTTACATTTGAGACTCATTTGACATGTAACAATGTTAAGTGCAAGAACTCTTGTTTTCACGTTCGAGTGTTTACATCTCTAAGGTTCTTTGCACCTGAATAACATCAGGACCCTTGTGCCTCGGCCCTTGATCAGATAAAGTTGTTTGATACATAGTACATATCATGATTATATATAATGTCATAATTCACATTAATCCTATATATAAGTAGGAATTTATTATTAGTTTAATCAATATTAGCTTGTTTATACCTTTTTTTTTTGCATGCAGAAAAAGAAGACCAAGATTAACTTGGACAATACTGTTACAAGGTGTCATTAATGGATTATTGGGGTGAGAATCACAGCTAAAATAATGAAATCATTTTCAATTATGTTACTATATAATAAAAAAATATTCAAATATAAGCAAATAAATTCCAAGTACTTCTAAAAAAAAACACAATATTTATTTTACAGGGCAGCACTTGGAAGCAACTTATATGCAGAGAGTTTAATTTTCACAACAGCAACATTTTCATCAGCTATGTCTAACCTCACTCCTGCAGTTACATTGATTATGGCTGTACTTGTAGGGTCAGTAATCTACTTTTAATTCTAAGATTGTGAGTTCGAGTTTCTGTTACGTCAAATATGATTTGATGATGTGATCAAACAATTATTTTTGGACACGATATTGACAGGATGGAAAGATTGGACATGCATAGATTAGCAGGACAAGCAAAGTTGTTTGGAACTTTATTAGGCATTGGAGGAGCATTGATACTGAATCTTTATAAAGGAATGAAGATCCCATTACCATCTATGAATATCCATTTGCTTCATACTAGTAATGCCACAGCAACGACAGCACAACAAGCAACTTACAATGATATTTGGGGCTCAATACTTGCATTTTTGAGTTGTGCTTCTTATGCATCATGGTTGATCTTTCAGGTAGGTGTGTGTGTGTGTGCGCGAGAAGTTCTTTCTCCGAAATTTGTTGATAACAATGTACTCTTTTCTTGACAACAGGGTAGGATGAGGCAGAGGTACCCTATGTACTCAAACACTGCCTTAATGTGTTTTTGTGGGGCTATCCAAGCAGGGATATATGCTTTTATAAGGGAAAGGGATTCATCTGCCTGGAAACTTGGCTGGAACATCAAACTTTTCACTCCTGCTTATTCTGTACGTCCCTCGATCCAATCTCCAGAGGCTAGTGGATGCAAAATCCAAGCATCATGTGTTGAACTCTTACCACTATACTTGATTCTTATATAAGCATTGTTTCAGGGCATTGTTTCTTCAGGATTAGGAGTGACCGTAGTAGCATGGTGCACAAAACAAAAAGGGCCTCTCTATGTCTCATCGTTCTATCCATTAGCACTTATCTTTGTAGCCATAGTTGGTACAATTGTCCTTCCCGAGGAGTTGCACCTTGGAAGGTTAGAATCTACCTCATGACTGTTCAATATCAGTTAAATTTCGATCAAGAACTAACAATGTCTTCTTATGATGACAGCTTAATAGGATCAGTATTCATTGTTATTGGCTTATACGTTATGTTATGGGGGACAGCCAAAGAGAAGACAGTAGCTGCAGCTGAAGCCTTGAAACGTAACGACAATGGAGTCATTGAGATCATCTCATATGCTGGTATAAATCAGGCTACTGCTGCAGTAGTCCCAGAATTCAAAACTGATGATATAATTAGTCCAACATCGACTGCAGCTCATCAAGAACCATAACCAGAAGAAACCAACTCATATATCGATAAATGTTCAGCAGTTAATTATTATAGTTCAACTTTTACTGATTTAATTCAAATAGAACTCAAGAATTTGTAAATCAGTGAATAAAGAAGAAGACAAGTTATGGAAATTAACCATATTAACTCGTATTGCAAGAAGCTAATGATAAGAGTATGTTTAAACATGCCAATAATGAACAAGATGAAAATATAATGTGTGTAATAGAACTCAAAACAACGACGAGTATATGACAATAAACAAATAAAAGATTAAATCTTTTCTCATCACAACTTTGTCAATCAACAAAAAAAATCATTTCCACACGTTTTTCACCATGCAATCTTCAAGCAACTACTAAGGAAGCATAGTTTCGTTCTTCAAAATCTTTCACATTATGGTTCAAATTATCACTACCAAGACTAGCTCGACTTCTTTTCTTCTACTACAGTTACCTTTGGAGCATCTTCTGCTTTCGTCTCCACGTGAGTTGGAGCAACTGTTGCAGCTGGAGCCTCTTCTATCTTCTTCTCTGCAGGAGTCTCTACTGCCGGTTTTACTTCCTCTACAGCAGGAGTCTCTGCTGCTGGTTTTACTTCCTCTACTTTCTTCTCAGCAGGAGTCTTAGGTTCTGATTTCACTTCATCTATCTTCTTCTCCTCGGAAGGCTCCACCTTGGGAGCCTCAGCAGTAATTGAGGCCACTTCTAGTGCTTTTACTATCTCCGATGTAACAGGAGCATCAACAACCTTCTCAACTTCTTCTGGCTTAGCTTCTGATGGTGTGATCTGGGATGCCTCCTCGTTTACTTGCTCCGATCCCTTACATTCTTCGTTCTGCAATAAATAGATGTAACATATCATAAGCTACTCAAACAGTAACAAGGTATATCAATTCAATGCAACCCTTGTTGTTCTTTGTAGCAAAACTACCATACTTAAAATGGTACCTATTGTGAACTAAAAACATGACTACTTCATTCTTTCCATGTTGCCATGGTACCATGTTTGGCAGTTACCTTAACTCCTGTTCTGGCCATAGATTTTGAAGTTGAAACTTGAAACTTAAAAAATTAGAGTTTTCAAAGTTGTGGTTTTTGGAACTTGAAGTTATGTTTAGAGATGTATTTTACTAGGATAAAATGCTTGAAGATTTGTGAGAGGAAGTCCCAAAAACTGGTTTGAGCAAGCGAAAATATTAAAAGATCAAATTTTGAGTCAAATTTCATCGCCTTTGAAGATAAATGTTCAAAATCTACGATCAAATGCTAGTATGTAGAGGGAAAATGAAATATTTTCTTTGTTTTCTATCAAGATGAAGATTTCCCACTTTTATTTTCTTTCCCCTTCAAAAGGAAAAAAATACAAACAGGAGCAAGAGAATCTATAGTAACTTTTCTCTTCCTTTTTGTAGTTCTTGAAGCTATATTAATACTCCCTTGTTTTAATTTGTTTGTATGATTCTGACTCAACACAAAATTTAAACAAGTAAAGAAATTTTTTGAATATTATGATCTTAAACATGTTAAGCGAAAAATCTGAAATTAAAGAGTCGCAAAAAAAGGAAAAAAGGAAAAAAGAGTTAACCTAGTACTACATGAAAACCAATGAAACAAAAAGGCAGACAAGACTAAAAGAACATGAGTAGATAAAACAAAGGAGAAGAAAACAAATTAGTGGTCCATTATTTACCAAGAAAGCAAGACCATGTTTGGTTGTCAACAACTCACAATCCAAACAAAACATCATTACCAAGATTCTTTTAGACCACAAATATAGCAATTAATCTATACTTCCACTACATTATCTCTGTTCCAGCTAGGCAAATCAAAGAATAAACAAATTTAACAACAATTTTTTTTGTTTTCTCACTCGGTGTTCAATATCCATATTAAAGTCCAATTAAATCCAAATTCACATCAGGAAGTCATTGAGGGGTAAGGTGTTTCCTAACAAAGGAAATTGCATAACTAAGGTGATTCGAAGGTAAAACCTTTAGTAAACGATGACGGAATACATACCACTCCACCATAAAAAGAAGTGATGTTTTGATTTCAGGATTAAGGGTATCTTTAAGGAAAGATAAAAGGATATCAACAAAAATAGTAATTTAAACAATAAAGAGATGGACCATATATAATTATGATGATAGTACAACTTCATGTCCCAAAAATAATTACATGTTGGTATAATTTAATAACATTCATTAGGTTTAGAAGTGACGTTTATGACTTACTTAATTACATATACCTTCCACAATAACATAATCCATTATTATCAACAATCAATAATAAAAAATATTAATCTGACTTTTATTGCTTTCTTATAGTCAATAAGATGAATTATCAACAATCAAATAACATTATCTGGTAGTACACATAAAAAGAAGATAAACTTAGAAGCAAAAATACATTTTTTAAAGAAAAAAATATGATCAATTTCTTTTACCTTGACATAATTCGTAAACTATCATAAAGATTCTTTTTTGTTTATTTCCTATATAAAAAATAGGCAGAGAATTAACTATATTATTCAAGGAAATTTTTATGTTTTAACTGCGAATAGTTAGTTGATTGAGTATTTGAACCAAATTCAATTTTTTTTTATTCCTCGTTTCTTCTTAGGTGATTTTAATAGTCTCTGCTTTGTAATCCTCACCATCTCTCATTCCAAAATGTAAAGCTAATCGTAAGAATATACAACAGATTCAAAGCAAAATAATTTTTTTAACAGAATAAATAGGGAGAACAGACAAAAAACACATTAAAAATTCTACTACAAATAAATAATATTAGTCCAGAAAAATAAATATAAAATATAAAAAATTTGAAAAAATAAATTTACCTCCTTGAACAAGTTAGATAGAGATCGGCGTTTTTCAGCATCGTCATCATCATCAGCAGCAGCAGCAGCATCGCCCTCTATTTCCTTCTTCACTTCTTCTTCCGCCACAACCACCACATCCTTGGCGGCGACGGCTACTTCCGCCGCATCTTTGGTGGCGATTTCCGTCGCCGGAACATTTTCCGGTGCGGTTTCCGGTGCATCTCCTTTCAAATCCTTTGGCTTCGTTGCACAAGCTCCCATTTTTCCCCCTTTTTTTTTTTAAGGGTTTTTTATTTTTGGAGAGGAAGAGAGTAGAGAGAATGAGGAATGAATAGGAAGAGAGAGATTTTATATAGATGGCGGGAAGGAAAGTGGGATTTTATTTCCTTTTTATATTTGATTACCATTTTATTTCAAAAGGAAACAAATATAATACCCTACTATTTTCTCATTACTTTAATTCGTTTTTTTCAGAGTCAAACTATATAAGGTATTTTGTTAATTATATAAATATATGAAATTATAATTTATAAAAAAAGACAAGTATCAAAATCACATCTAAAGTTGGAGCAACTGCCTTAAAAAACTCATCTACTTGACTAATGAAACTTAGATACACTCCCGATATGCAATATGACATAACAAGTGATCTCAAACTCTTGCAGCAGCATGAAGTTCTTAATAAAAATCGGGAAAAGTGTCGAAAACACCCCTAAAGTTGACAAGAATTTAGGGTTGTATTTCATTAATATTGCAAAATTGGGGTGTATTTAGCTTCAATTAGTCAAGTAAAGGGAAGTTTTTAAGGCTGTCAATAGTTCGGGGATGAAACTAATAATCTGTGTCAAGTTTAAGGGTGTCTTTGATACTTCTCTCTATAAATTTTTTTGTGTAATTTTGAGTGTCCAAATTTTATATTTAAAAGATTAATTTAATTTAACTTCAAAAATTAATCAAATTGATTTTTTGTGAAGTAAAACGTGATTTAAAACAAATGAACAAAGGGATAGTTCTCTAATGTTACGCCAAAAATTGTACTCCCTCTATTTTATATTAATTGATTGTTTGTGACTTTTTTTATTATTCAAAATAATTGAAATGTTCAAACTACAAGATGGATGTTTGATTTTTTTTTCTTCATATTTATCATTTCCTTTAATGAAGTTTGATGTTTTCTTGAAGATAAATTGCACTACTTGCAAAGTTATACTTATGATTTCACAAAGAACAATAGTGGAAAGTATAACTTAATTATATCCTTAAATATTTTTCTTAATAAGTGTGCATTATCTCACAAATCAGTTAATATGAAATAGAGAAAGTAATAACAAACAGACATTAGTATACCTTATTAAATCCCACAAGTGGAAGTATGAGAGTAAAATATATGTAGACTTTATTTATATTTTAAATGAAATTATATATAAGAAAAATAAAATAAAATAAATAATAATTGTCGTTAATATAAATGTTATATTTATTTAAATAATAAGAATTTCATATATGAAGGTTAAAAGGTTGTTTTAAAAATGTGAACTTCTTTTAGAAATATTTTTAATCCTTTTAAATATTTATTTATTTTGTTTACCACATTATATTGTCATCATAAAATTTCTAAAAATGTACTTGAGTTATTAGATACCAAGAAATAAAATATGGGGCTTTAATGCCAAATTTTAGGCAAGTTATGATGGTAATATTTCTAATTTTTCCTAGCATAATTTTATTTTTCTTTCTATTTTTTGTGATGCATCTCGTTTAAAATATATTTTCTTTTTACTATTTATTTTATTACTCCTTAATTATTAATTTTCCTAATACTTCTCACCATATATTTCTCTCGTACCATATATTTTAGAATTTCATAAAATATATTTTCCTTTTACCATATATTTTACGACTCCTTAATTTTTATAAAAATAATTTGGAGAAAATAGTAATTAACAATTTTGTACAAATTGTATATTTTTCAAATCTTGATGGTCAAATAAGCAAAAGAGTATTAAAGGATGCTGCTCAACTTACCAAGAGTTAAAAAGGAAATAAAATAAAATAAAATCTAAACAATTAACTTTATATAAATGTACCAAGAAGCATACTGTCCTAAGCCAATAGTCAAAAAGAATCATTTAAATTTTATTAATTCTTGAAAAGTATAAGCCAAAATATTATAATATTTCTCAAATAATTATTTTTATTTTTATGTTGATTTATATATATATATATATATATGAGACTAAAAAGGAAAAATAATAAAGAGACCAATTATTGCCATGGGAATATCTCCCTGAAATTGCGGAGATTCGTATTTTGGCCGTCAGTATAAAGGACCAATTTTCTTCCAAATAACATAAAAATATTTAATTCCTTAATTACATCTAAATTAATATTATTCTCTTTTTTTCCCTTTATTATTTATTACGCAAATGCTAATCTTGTTACATTGATTCACTTACGTATTCTTTTATATATGTGATATTGCTTGCGGAAAATTTTGCATACGTTATTGAGACTATTGCATAAAGGAGATTTGGGATCGTATCGTACCGGATTTTTTAGGGATATACGAGGTTCTCTCACATCGGGTTTTTTAGGGATGTTTGAGGTTCTCTTGCACCTATATCCTTCTCAGTTGTGTTTGTAGCATAAGACTTATTTTGTACGATTCACATTTTATGTGTCATTTGCGAGTTATTACACATGATGATATTATTTATTAAAAAAAATTGAAAACATAAAGTGTTTGACAACTATTCATCATTTTAAAAAAAAATCAAAATTCTTCATATTCTATCATCATTTCTTCTTTCAATCTTTTTGTTGATTGGTTGAATTTGCAAAAAGATTTTATGGTTTTCCATAAAATCAAATGAGCAAAGATCATGAATTATGTGCTAGCCACGTTTATATTTATTGGGATCACGTCTTTATAATATGCTCTCTTTAATTAAATCATTATGCATGATTAGGATTTTTTAATTTTTTTTTTAGTGATTGAAATGTTATGCACATATTAATTGGTTTCAAATAATAATGTGAGCCATGCAACTTTAATTTACATCTACATTTCATGTGTGCCAACTCAACCAACCCCTTCTTTAAAACTCATAAAGAGTTGGTAATCTCCTACTTGTAATTTATAACATCAAAGTCGAAAAAAGAAATTAATTAAATCTTGTAGGAAAAAATTGACTCAACTATGCCTATATATCAAGGATTAAAAAAAAGTACCAAAAAATGCCAAGTTTGTTAAAAAAACCCAAGTAAACTACTACCTCCGTCCACTTTTAATTGTCATAAATCAAACGATAATAACTTTGACTAACATTTTTGTATTTTTTCATCATATTAATATGCAAAAAATTGGAATTTATAGTACTTTTCGTGTAGTTTTTGAATATATCAATTTTTTGTTTAAAATATCAAATTAATGTAATCTAATTTAACTTTGAGCGGACAGAGGGAGTACTAGTTACGACTCACGTACGACTAATCACTTTATATATTATTCCCGCGATGAGACTTAAGGAAACATTTTCAAAATTAAACAATTTTTCATGGACGAGGGAGTTGCTCGGACGGTAAGAACCCCTCACTTCCTACTCGGAGGTTATCAGTTCAAGTTACCAATGGAGCGAAAAGGTGGAAGCTCCGAGGGATAAGAAAAAAGGAAAGGAACAATTTCTCATGTTTTTTTTTTTAAATTTCTTTTTATATAAGCATAATTGAGTTAAAAGCAATAGGTTATTGATGTGGACCTTATGATAATTAAAGTGCATATGCATCAATAGAATTTTTTTGAAAAAGTTACAATGATTTTATAAAAGTGCATTAAGTGGTGCATTAAAAAAATAATTAGAATCGTAGCGTAGAAATTGTCTACCTAAAATTCCAGCCAAAAGTTTTAAACACCATTTTATATCAGGGCACCAACCTCCTAAATAAAGAAAATATTGTATTTATTCTTGTTTTTTTTTTATTTCTTAAATAACCTCTTCCTAAAAACAATTAAGGTGAAAGTAGGTCCATCATAAAGTTTTTTTTTTCTTAGCTAGCCAGCTACTCATAAATTATTTATAACTTTATTTTATACATCTTTGGTTTTATATTAGTTGTCAAGGTTACTACAATATTTATTTTAATTTACTAATTGTCATTATAAAATCAAAATAGAATTAATTACTCTTTTGTTTTCTTTAACGTGTAACGTTTTACATTTTAAGAGTGAAAATCAGACCGTTACCACCAGGCTGAAAATTCATGTAGTCAATTAGGGGTTCTGCCAACAAGCTAGGAGGTTATTCTCTTCGGCGGAAAATTACACTATTTATATATGGTTAAAATTATTGTTATGTATATATAATAGAAGATGCACCTCTTCGACTAGTTCATATGTTACTTCTTCATATTTTGAATTCCTTTCATAAAAATCTTGATTCCGCCACTAGAATCAACCAGCTAAGCTACTAAGATTTTGTACCGAAATATCTGCTTCTCTCCGGAAAAAAAGGGGTAGGACATAAAATATTTATTGAATAATAAGTCCCTTCCTACTATTTGGTTGTAGAAAAGATTTTCAAATAAAAATCATTTTCACCAAAAGGGAATATCCTTTCAAGTTATTTTATTTCAATTATTAGTTTTTTATATATCACAACTCCAACCATAACCTATATTTGAATATGCAATACTCCGTACCTAATCATACCGTCGAAGCACTACTTGATTTTCTAACATTTATCAATTTTAATAATTATATTCTACAAATCGATCGACCACCATATAGATTCTTCTTTCGATTAAATTAAATATCATGTTATCAAGTTACTATGAAAAGTGAAATCGAGTTTAGGTAAAAATCAATTAGCAAAGGATTGGATGGATTAAGGGACTAATTAATATAACTTCAATTAATAGAATCAGTCCAAGAATATGAAAGTTCGTATTTTTGTAGGTAAAATTTTTAGTATTGAAAATACTAAGTCAATTTAATAGAAATTATTGTTATAATACGTACCATACACGACGTAAGAGTAATCCTAGATAATTAATTAGCCATTTAATTAGTCATACTTTCTAGAAGTAATTGGAAAATTAAGCTTCTACTTGGAGATTACTATTAAGACTTTTAGATTCTGAAAACACTTTCAACGTAATTCAATAATATACCGCCTAAAGAAAAACATAATTTTCGTCACAAAAAACAAAATGCTGAAATCACCAAAAAAAGAATATTCAAAATTATACATTATACAACTTAGTTATTTGTTAATAAAAACTCGTTTTGCTTGTTGGCCATAT